GGTACACAGGGGTGCTATAGTCAGGGACAGGTTAGGTGAGGGTGGGGGTGAGGGTGCGGTACACAGGGGTGCTACAGTCAGGGACAGGTTAGGTGAGGGTGGGGGTGAGGGTGCGGTACACAGGGGTGCTATAGTATATATATATCGTAGCATAACGTGAATAGAAATCACCCTGTGTTTCATATGTTAGCTTTTCCGTCGTCTGTCCACGCGATAGAAGAAAGTCAACTCTTACGTCCCACGTGCACCTTATACTTAATGTGATGAAGAGACGCTAGCTCAGAATCCTTAATTTAATCAAGGACGCTGTGGTGGGGATAAACGCTTTTATACTTTGTTGAAATTATCTGATATTAGCCAGGGTGAAGATTCTGTCTGAAGTTACCTATAAATTTTTAAAGAACTGAAGTTTTGTTGAAATAAAATCTCTTAGTGTGGATAAATTAAGACGCTTTTAAAAGTCGCAGAAAAAGTTTTAAAATCATGAACTTTAAAAAAGGGAAATCTCAACTCCCTAAACAAATTATACGTACACGACAGAACGGAGGCATGGCTTAGCAGTTTCCAGGGCACATCCTCTCTGTCTCTTGGGATAGTTTAAGTGTTCTAAATTTATCACAATACTTCGTGGTCTATAATTTTACTCTGAACATTATCTCCGTTAATTATGACTAAGGAAGACTTAAGTCAACCACTAAAATTTGATTTTGTTATAATTGTTATATTTGCAGATAACTTCATAACGAAGAGGGGAAGGGGACCTCCTTTTAAAAGTCAGTCAAGTCACATCTAATACACGTGTTCGTCCGATGTCGAGGCTGGCGTGAGGAGGGCATCCACTTGGAGAGAACCCAGAAAGCCGGATACAAGTTGTGGCATGTAACAAGGTGAGTCTTTGAAAAAATTGGTTAAATTGGATTTTAAGGTGGGGTAATCAGCATGATCACCGTTCTTGGCAGTCATTTATATCATTTTTTTCTATGTCATCATATTTTATTCTACTATTTAGCGCTCTTTTTAGCGCTATATTTATTCATTGTTTTAGTTTGTAGAATTATATATTAATTTGTACGTTCATGTTGTTATTATAACTCCCCTCCTTTCACTTCCTTCACGAAAAGGGGAAAACAACCAGTCCCACATCACCCGCATAACTTGGCGATGACCAAGGGTCAGATGGCAATCTGGACCATTATGTCCCCCCTTGATAAAATGACCAGTCCTGTAATTATGCGATGACATGAGTTAACGCCGTGGTATTGTAATGGCCGTGGTCAAAGGTCCGGTCACCGCCACAGTTAACTTATACATACGTAATAAGGAGCTACGTAATAGTTAATGTGCATGCTGATAACCAGAGATTTCCACGCTAGATTCTTGTATTGTTGTTTTCGTTAGCTAAATTATTTTTAACCTTAGGGCCCACTGAACAAATGAGAAAGATAAATGCTAATTGCAATACGCTACTTAGCAACTGGTTTGGCTGGATGGCAAGCTTTCTCACCTAATGTATTTTATTTTCTCTGCAGACATTCTTTCTTTCTTCATTTATCTCTCCCACTCTCTCAGATTGTCTTAACCAGTGTTTTTCCTGTAGAAGACAGATGTTAATTGGTGTACGGGGAAGACTTGGCTGGTTTTAATGAGCATACAAGTTGTGTCTGGCCAGGATATTAATGGTGTTTTTGGTGGTTTTCTTCAACGCTGGAAAGGAAACTATTTCGTAAACAAAATGTCAATCAGTGCCACAGTAAGAAAAAAAAAAGAAAAAAAAGAAAGAAAGCGCTCTCTGCAAAGTCTATCTCAGCTTTTGTTTTGATCGGTTGAAATTAAAATTCCAACATGACATCAGTAAGGTTGAGGAAGAGCATAAGGAACTTCTAGCAGTTCGGTTTTGTTGTTGTTATTGTTTTTTTTTAATGAGATATATTGCGCAACAAGGTCGAAAAAGAAAAAAAAAACAAAAAAACAACAGCAACAAAGCACAATGAAAGAGAAACTAAAGGTGTATTGATCAACTGTAAAAACACCATGAGAGTGTACCCCTTGTAATGGACATATTTTGCATGTAACGAACTAGGCGCAGACTGAATTAGATATCTTTAACTAATTCGTAAAGATAAATGATGATGATTCACAAAAATGATATAACTGTATAAATAGCCACGCAGATGAAGGAAAAGTACATGTGTAAAGTCTGTAACAAAAGCCTATAATGTTACCGAAATGGCAGTGTTCATTTCAATAATTAGGTCATTGATTTGTCAAGGTGATTGATCTGCGTTCACTACTCCGTAGCTCGCTGTTTTCACGCCAGTTCTTTTCTTATAACCTGTAACATTACTGCCTTTAGGTTATTCTTTATGACGGATCTCGTATTATTAAGATATCTTGTTTCTTTCCAGTCTGTATGAATCTGGGATTTGTAGTCGACAAAGTAGTATTTTGTAAGGCAGGGCTTAACAGCAAGTTATATAGTGCTCTTATGGTCTAATCATCCACGCGCCGGCACACACGCCGCCACCCCCCCTCCCCCCTGCAAACCTGATGCATGTCGCCCTAGCCGACTGTAATTCATAAAGTTCAAGTTGTAACATTTCCTTGTCGCGCACAATGTTGTGACAGTGAAGGGTAACATGCTATATGTGCAGAAAATAGCCCCAGACAGGCGCTACTGTGCAGCCAACCAATGCAGTGAGCGATGCATGCAGCATTGTCCCCTAAGTCCCCTTTACACTGGAGGGCGTCCTTTCTGCGTGTAGTACGGCCCCGTTTTAGGCTGTATTCCCAGAGCTTTTAGATCGATCTATCCCCGCGGGGAGTCTCACTAGATTACTCTCAGTTAATCCGACTTAAATGTCCGTCCCGCCTACTACAAGCTGTAAGGAGGTAATGGAGGTAATGAAAGTAATCTAGTGAGACTCCCCGCGGGGATAGATCGATCTAAAACCTATGAGAATAGAGCCTTAGAGTGAAAAAATCTTTACGTGCCGACAACTGGCCGATCATTGGGCATCCATTTTGCAACCAAAACGAAGCTTGTGCCTTTTTTCTACGACTACAGCGATGCCAGTTTCATGGTCGAAGAAAGGACGCGTTCCAGTGTAACGGGGGTTTTAGCCGTCTTGTGGATAATATAATCCCACGACAGGGCTGCCAAGTGTCATTGGACGGGCTATATATTATGTCATTTCGTACACATGTTACGGAGAAAATCTGTATTCTCACGAGGTCCTGGGAACGATCTCAGTGACGGCAACTGCGACTCAGCAGGTGTGATGTTGTATGGGTGTGAGACGATTTCCATTTCTATCGCAACATGCCTGAAACAAAGTAAATGCCCAGGTGACATTGCTTTGCACGCACCGTCTTTAGTTACGGCTAACAATGTCTGCGTTATTTGAGCTGTCACACGGCCCCGCTTAACTTGATGGAGACGAGCTAAGGAAAGAGAATGTGACAATATCATTTGTTCTAAACTCTGTCTTCTCTGTCTTCTCCATCCGCGATTTCTGTGAAATCTGTGTCAGTGTATATGGGTTACCCTCTACCAGAGATGCAGTTATTATTGTGGACATTTTTGCTGAGGCTGACATCAGACCAAAATGACTGTCTATATATCTAGAGAAATATCTGTGAAAAAAATCAATCTGTCGCCCTGGTAGAAGGTATACCATAACGGCTATTTTTTCATAATTTTACCTATCATATATTCCATAATATTACGTGTCAGAACATTTGTAGAAAATCCTGAAATATCTAATTTATTACAATTACATTTTTTTTACTTTCCTGCAAAGCTTTATAAATGCAAAAATGATCAATTCATCTCCAACAGGGGAAAATTTATAGCTGAAAATAAAGCCAAAAATGTCAGGCGCGTATAACGCTTTCAAAGATAAAAAGCCACAGATTAAAAACCTAGAAAATCGCAGAATTAAGATAATCGATACCTTTATTCTTATTTATATCATAATATTTTCACTGATATAAACAAACGTGTCCACGACGTATAAATTAAATTAAAATCAGTTTCTAATAGAATGAAATTTTTAGGTTTAGAGAAAAAAGCCATTATATGTTAAATGGTCCATATTCACTGAGCCGTTCAACCGAAGAGGTCTTCTTGTGCAGTGATTTATCTAGGTCAAGGACGTATATAGGTCATCGATCTATGAAGGTCACATATCAATCACAATCATTGATCACTGCAACCGTCTGCATAAAGATATTAACATTAATGTGCACACCCATCATCAAAATTACAAAATAAGATATTGAAAAAAGTTTTTTGCCTAGTATAGCGCATATTTCTAGTGATTTTCGACTTGGCGAGAGAATTTGTAGTAACAAACAACACAGCTATTTAGGAGGTTAAATTTTGCTTTTTTTTTAGTTTTTTAAATATATGACAGCCCGTTGTATTATTGTGATCTTAGTCAAATTTATTCAAATCATTTAACCTATACCATCTACGTATAAACTACTGCTCTTGATAATTGATAAGAAATACACGGAATCAGGCCAACAGATTTTCCTTACTTCTCCTTTTTCTCGATATTAATGTTACAGTACTATTCTCCCCCCCCCCTCCTGCAAGAAAAAGACAGAAAGAAAAGCTTCCTTCTAACCACATACTTTTTTTGCAGGGTAAATTCTAGAGCATAAAATCATCCAGATAAATCTTGATTTCAATTTTCTTACGTAAACAAATGTCGTCACGCATTGTAGGCTGTGATTCGTTCAAACCTTTTAGGGTAAAGAATCTGAAGCAGCGTATATCAGGTGTCTAGAAATAATGAAGTCATATTGCGTGCTACGTGCAATTCCTCGCTGTAAACAGTCGCAAAATACTCTCGAATGTCATTTTCTCACGCGTCAAAATTTTCTCACGTACTGCAGGCTCCGATACTTTAAACCCTTTTTTGGGTAAAGAATCTGAAGTCTAGAATTGCGGGTGTCTGAAAGCTGAAGTCACATGGCGGGTGACATAATAGTGCCATTCTTCAGCTGGGTGAAGAATCTTCACGTGCGAAGCAGTCAGCCGGATTATTCTGGCTGGCGTCTGGTTTATAATTTAGGCAGCTATAATGATTTGTTGTGGTGTCAGTTTTTCGTTTCTATGTAGTAACTTTCCGCTGTAGCATGTATATAAATAAATCCGTTTCCTCCATTCAGAAGGAGAAGAGTGAAGAGATAGAATTGTCAACAGCAGACTTTCAAGTCGCAGGCAGTGTACAATAATCTCAAAGCAGGGGAGCGCGGAGTTTTGATACGAAGAAGACAGTCGGTTTGGGACAAAATATACCACTTTCAGTGCGAAGTCCGATTAAGCGTGAAGGGGAGACGAGTCAGGACACTCTCCCTTGTCACATCCCCGCCGCTAAAGGCTCACTAGTGAGCAGTTTTTTGTCCCGGTAAGTTTGTACGTCAGTGTGCAGACTCTGTTTTGCCTGAGCCGCCTGCTTTCTGACTTCGGGACGCCGTATAAACCTGCTCAACCTGCCTATCACTAATATCACACAATTTATGAAGCAGCATGTATTTTGTCTTTATGTATAAAGAGCTTTCCTTTATTTATAAAAGCTTTTCCCTCTTCTTTTACCATCTTATTTTAAATGACATGTTCATCATAATAATAATGATGGACCCTTCCTATAGCAAAGCATGTGGATTCATTTTTCCTGGAAATTTCCAAACTTACTTTCCGTGATAACCTACATGTAGGTTCAGCATAATCAGAACCGTTCACAAAATTAAGATCTATCAACCGGCTTCTAACCCCTCGTAGTGGCGACAGGAATTGATGGACGTCATTCGTTACGATGAATATAAGAAAATAACAGCTTGAAAACGGGTTAAAAGATCGCACATTTTTCAACGATTT